TCTCGGTGATATCAATGCCCATAATGGGCTTAAACAAGACCGACGCAGCAGGTCGTGCAGTCGAAGCGTTCGCTCTTACTCAAGGGCTGACCCAGCTGGTGACGAGCCCTACTTTTGACCCCGCCTCTAGTCACACGCCAGTGGCCTGTTGGACCTCTTTCTGACCACGCATCCTGTCCCTTACAGCACTGCTGTCCTGTCCCCCCTGGGTAACTCAGACCACGGTGTTGTGGAGGTTACGTTTCGGTCAGAACCCGCTATGGCAGCAGAAACTCGTACAGGCCGCAAAACTGGGCACTACGGACATGACGACTGGGAGGGGCTCAGAGACTTCTCTAGCTTTCCTTGGAGAGATGTCGTCTCTTCCAGATATCTTATGAATCCGGCTCCTTCCCAGAAAATTGGAAATTTGCTCATGTCCAACCCATCCAAAAAAAAGGATCTAAGACCGACCCTTACAACTACAGGCCTATAGCTCTGCTTTCTGTTATAAGTAAGGTGATGGAGAGGTGCATAAATCGCGAGCTTCTGGACTACCTCGAACGTCACAGCTTGATTAGCGACAGGCAGTATGATTTCCGGCACCAAATATCCACAGGGGACCTCCTAGCTTACGTCACGCAACTGTGGAGTAAGCTCATCCAGTCTCATGGTGAGGCTCATGTCGTTGCTCTTGACATCACGAAAGCGTTCGATCAGCTGTGGCACGCTGCCCTCTTAAGCAAACTTCCATCCTATGGCCTCCCAGAAAAGCTTTGCAGGCCGGTGGCTGACTTTAACTTTGGTGGCAAGATGTCCGTCGTAATTGACGGGTTCTCCTCTTCATCCCACAACGTCAACGCGGGTGTTCCCCAGGGATCGGTCTTGGCTCCAACATTGTTTCTCTTGCATATCAACGACCTCATTTCCTGCACGATCAACCCAATCCACAGCCGCGCGGCTGCTTCGATATAAAAAAATTACACTAAAAGTACTTACGAAGTTTCAAAAGTCGCAGCGACGTCATTTTTTCGCAGTTGTTTGTATAAATTTACCGAAACGTTGTCATTTTCTATATCTTCACCTTGTCTTCAGTTTGCCCCATCTCGATAAAAATTATACCTTCATCTCATTTTAGATAACTTTCACCAAAACAATTCGACATTTCAAATAGTGGTACCGTAAAATTATGAAAAATATGTCAGATACTGTCACGGCCACACCAAAGTGCGACTCACCTTTCAACTGGTCGCAAAATGCTAGTGCCATGATTCAAATACTCTGGCATTATCACTCCATTTAGAGAGTAATTCCCAGAATTTGATGATCAATCGCTTATGTTACACGTTCAGACATAATATCGTATTCTAGATAACGCCTTCCCGAGCTGTTTTATCGCCAGACGTTATCACTTCTTGGAAATATGATCATTCAATGCTACGCGTGGGAATAGCGATTTTTACTGTTGTCAACAACAAATATTGGTAGTAGATGTTTGGTTTTTAAAATTGTTTGGCGTGTACAAAGTTTTTTTTTGCACTAGGACATAACGTACAAAAGTATGTAGACAAATATAAATATTTACCTAAATACCTTTTATACCTCATTGCTCCATAAACAAATGCGTTTTTAGTAGAAAAACTAAATTCCTTGTTTTTACATTATCTGCAATGAACACAATACAAGTCTGAATATAAGCACTTTTTTATGAGGGACAAAAATATGTAGACAAATTATTTTCATCATTAGTTTGGTACAGTTTCGTCTCAGAAGAGGATTAGTTTGTGTTCATCAAGGTCATGTTAACACCATGCCGCGTGGTCCAGAAATTTCTTTCGATGTGAAAACTAAGATCATCGAGTTATACAAAGATGGTCAACGTCAAGTCAACATTGCCAAAAATTTGAAGCTGAAGCGTAAAGCAGTTTGAGCAATATTGAACAAATATAAACAAAAAGGTATCTTGGAAGCCTCTAGGTTGGCCTAGAAAACTAAATGCTAGATCAGTTAGATTAATAAACGTAATTTCGTCCAAAAATCCGTTTAAACCCCCCAAGACAAATAAAAGCCGAAATCGAGACAAAAGGAATTGTCAGTGTTTGTAAGAAAACTATAAGTAGAAGATTAAATGATTGGAAGTTATTTGCACGTCGCCCAATTAAGAAGCCGCTAATCTCGAGGAAAAACCGTAAGGACCGACTACAATTTGCACGGTTGCATCTTGATTGGAGCATCTGTGACTGGAAGAGGGTATGTTTCAGTGACGAATCCAAGTTCAATATGTTTGGATCAGATGGTGTTCATTACGTTAGACGTCCTGGTGGACAAAGATTGAACCCCAAGTACACTTTGCCCACTGTCAAACATGGAGGCGGGCCTGTTATGGTTTGGGGGTGCTTTTCGGGGTTTGGGGTGGGACCTTTACATAGAATACATGGCATTATGGATAAGTTTTTATACACAGACATACTAAAGCATTTCATGTTACCATATATGAAAGATAATATGCCCTTAAGGTTAATCTACCAGCAAGATAATGACCCGAACCACACTTCTCTCGCAAAGAAATTCTTTCTAGATGAAAAAATACCAGTTCTCAAATGGCCTTCACAGTCTCCCGATATAAACCCCATTGAAAATCTATGGGAATACTTAGATAAGCAAATACGAGATAAAAATTATTCAATCAAGGATGAACTTTTTGCCGCTTTAGAACAAAAGTGGAAACAGATTGATGAATCTTCCTATATCAAGAAACTTCTACAATCTATGCCGAGACGATGCCAGGCGGTGATTGATAATAATGGTAATGCTACGAAATATTAACACACACATATGGTTGGTTTTCTATAATTCAATGAACTTTGCTTCTTTTTTCTATAATTGCATTGCTTTGTCTATATATTTTTGTCCTTCATAGTTCCAGTTTTTTTTCAATTAATTTTTTATTGAAGGGAGTTTAATAAATTTATTTATTTGCTATAACGAATTGGTTGGTGTATTAATAAAACACGTTAAAAAAGAAATACAGCACAATATTAATTTGTCTATATACTTTTGTCCATTACTGTACATATCAAAGTTGTAGTTTTTCAAAAAGAATGCTAATTGTGACAGTTTGTAACTAATCAACAATTTATTTGTTTCCAAGGAATACTCAATAACGGAAAAAATAGCCGTAAAAACCCTTATGCGTCTGGTATCAATAAAAAAACTTATAAAAAATTGGATCCAAACTTGCATAAATATACAGGGTGATGCATTTGAAATTGTTCGCGTTTTGACCACCCTGTATGAGCAAAAATGACAATTCGAAAAAGTAACAAATAAGATAAAAGCTGGGGTGTGTAAGTTTTTTTGATACAAAATTCAGCACTCCAAATTTCAAAATGGCAGATTGACGGGTTGCCGAAGTGAACGGTTTTTCTGGACAAAACACCTTACATCTCAGTAGTTGATTACCAAAACCCCATAGTGTGTTAAATCAATCTTCTTCTTTTGAATTGGTTCATCCAAATATACAAAAAAAATTGTGGCATTCCATTTAAACAATCACAACTTTAATATGTACACCCGCCAATATTTTGGAAATGTGCCCTCAAATGTCGTGTATAACGTCCCATAAATAGTCGTATCCAAAATATATTTGTTTATGAGTAATATTCCGTCCACACATGGATGGGCCACCCTCTATACAAGGGAAACAGAAGCGGTCCGAGTACTGAGCCTTCTGGTACTGCCGAGGAAATCAAACATTCAAACGAAGAGTCTGGTATCAATAACGACTCTCTGAGCCTGAATTGTGAGAAAGCTACAGTATATTCAGATAAGAGATAGACCGGACATAAACAAGACCACGTGATCATCGAACGCTGTAACATTCGGCAGGGACGTATTAAGAGTCACGCAGTACATATTTTAGATAGTAGATGCTGCTTTGCGTAACTTTGTAGTAAATTAGCACAATTCGATGTGTTTACGATTGGTGATGGATATAGGATCATGTGGGGGTGGGGTAAGAAATATATAATGATGTAAATATACATAAGGGTTTCAAAATTTTCGCTTCGATTTCCAGCTTTGGATGCCGCCTGATGTTTGGTGAAATACAGTCGAATATAATCTCAACATGGCGTTTAAATTAGCCTAAATTAAAAATAATCGTATATCTCTTAAAATTGCTTTTAGAATATTGATTAGTATATTTTTTGATTTCTAGGTAAATATATAACCAAATTAAAACGTTCAAAACGTAAAAAAATGTGCATGGTTGAACATTGTCAGAAAGTAGATTCTTGAATAGGTTTTGCCAAAATGGGTTAAAAATGTCAATAATTAATTAAAAAATACATACTTTTGCGATGTTTACTGGTCATTGGCTCAGAAAAGGTGTGATTTTTTTTGTATTGTCTTAACACATTAAACACTGATGCGCGACACACCCCAACTTTGTGAGAAACCTTCACAACAATTTCTTTGATGGTTGATGCCTCGTTCTCCTCGCGCTCGATCTTATATATATATATTCAAAATGACCTCTTTCATTTCAGCACTCAGGTGTCTTTTTTTCGAGCGTTTCCTAGGTGGACTACAGGAGTTTACAACTTGATCGGCAGTATCTGTACTACTGGGCATTTTGCGCAAGCAGTTGATAACAATAACAATCAATAACAAGGTATAACAATAACAACGACAAACTCAACAACTTAATAAGATAACAAACGAAAACGTCCAAAGAAATATCAAATTGCAATGATGCACACGACATACGTAACACGTCTGAACCTGAATGTGACTCTGGCTTGATACGACTGCTCTGCCGCTCGGCATAGGCATTTAATTGCGAATTGACCAATGAGGGCTCCTGTTTTACGTCGAGACGGCGGCGTTAGCGTGAAAATCACCCGAACCTTTTGTTTACATCCGGTCTATCTCTTATCTGAATATACTGTAGTTAATAATTTCAAGGAGTACTTATGGGAATTTCATTTTCCAACCCGATAACAAGCAATAGTACTCACCATGCTTCTGTAGAAGGGTACCAATAAGGGTACGGCAAGGGCTGCGGCTGCTCCGGCATAGTCATGGGCGGCGGTCCATATTCGGCCGCCGGTCGGTACTCGTTGTAATCATTGTAGTTCTGGTTCAACCGAAGTAGTGCCGGAGGATTGGGTGCGTACGATCCATAGCGATGCTAGAAAAAAATTACGAAATCATAGTCTGACCTATTGACCATTTCCGGCTAAGCGATAATATATAGGGTTGGCCGTATTCGACGAAAAGATGTGGCAACACTGTAACTTTTGACAGAGATGACAGATCGAGTAATGACGTAGCGCGTTTGAAGCATCAGTCTAAGGAGATTTTTGCAGTGCTCCACGTGAACGCTCTCAGATTGTTGAAATTTACCTTCAACAAAACAAGTCAATTGTGAAAACTCAACGTGCATGGAGAAAAATAAATACAGTGGACCTCCGGAAATCCGACAAACATTATGCAGGGCAGTGCCGGACTATCGAATTTGTCGCATTATAGAGCACTGCCTAAGACCCCCTATAGTCCGGAATTTTTTACAAAAAAGTACCTTGTAACAAATTACATATCCCATGGTAAGATTATATATGTATTTATGTTATGTATATGTATGTATGTACTTTGAAGTACAAATCATACATAGTTTATGTATCTCGAATTTAGTAAATTAAATAACAATAACGTTTTATTATAACATTACGCATAAATGCACATACATACATATGTACCAAAATAATCAAGAATTATTAATCAAAATCATTAATGAATTTATCAAATTATGAAGCTTGGAAACATTCATCAATTTTTTTTTGTTTAAGATTGTTATAACGCGAGATCAGAGCTTTGTCCCTCAGTCTTCTCAAAAGTAAAAGTTCATTGTAGGATGTACCATTCTCTTCAGCCCATTGTAAACCTAGCTCAAAAGGCGTTAATTGCGTCTTGTGCTGTGACTTGTACAGCAGTTTGCAATCACGTAGTCATTATTTTCCTGATTGTTGTATAATCAGAAACCTCTTTTATAATCTCTTCGTCAGACATTTCATGAAAAACATTTTCCTCTGTATCCATTCCACGGCACCAGATTTCCAAATCTTCCGTACTTATCTATGTTTCAGTAGCGACTTGTTCTATAACTTCCGAAGTTACACTGATTTGTGGAACGTTGCTAGGAGTGGTGACTAAATCTGGCCATAACTTTTTCCAAGACGATTTTATAGTTGATGACGGTAACGCATTCCACGACTGACAAAGAGCAAATACCAAGTCTTTCATATTAAATTCTTTTGAAGTTTTTTCTATTGGTTGGTCTTTTGATAAGGCTCTCAGAAGTACGTTTTTCTTATAGTCTTGCTTGACAAACTGCATGATATTCTGGTCCATTGGTTGAATCAGTGCAGTGCAATTTGGCGGAAGAAACATCCCAGTGATGCATTAATTTATCCGCAGGTGTTAGTTCTTCTTCAGACGGATGACCGGGAGCGTTATCCAGAAGCAACAACGCTTTTTGAGGAAGATTACGATCTTTTAACCATTTTCTAGCTTCAGGTACCACTTTTTGAAAAGGTCTTTTGTCATCCATGCACTTTTTTGTCCGTAATAGTATACAGGTAAATCAATGTTTTTGAATGCCCGTGGTTCATTAGATTTCCCAATGGCCATCATCTTAAGCGCGTGTGTGCCCGCAGCGTTAGCACATGGTAGTATGGTTACACGCTCTTTACTTACTTTTCGTTACAAGAAACGAAAGTTTTGTTAGGCATCACACGCCAAAAAATCCCTGATTCGTCTGCATTGTACACTTGTGACGGGTCAAGATTTAAATCGTTCACCTTTTGCAAAAATCTTAATTTAAAGGGCTCTATGCAGGTGGCATCCTTAGAAAGTTTCTCTCCTGTAATAGTCATTAAACGTATGCCATGACGACTTTTAAAACGTTCTAGCCATCCTTTGCTGGCCACAAAATCATCTTTTTTTGTTATTTCCTTATAAAAAAACTTAGCTTTTATGGCCAACATGGGTCCTGAAATTGGTGCATGCCTATTTATTTCCTGAATAAACCACATGTACAAAGCTTCTTCCACTTCTGATGTTCAGCTTTCTTGAGCGTCTGTCTCTTGCCTGGCCCGCAGTCAGTAGTTGACACGAACTTCTTGATCTTCTCGTGGTTTCTTTTAATGTCATAAATTGTAGATCGGCCTACGCCGTATTCGCTTGCTAAACTACTGAAAGTTTCATTGCGATTTAAGCGGTCTAAAATATCACATTTTTCTTTAATTATCAATGTTTTGTGCTTTCGCTTCTGAGTTTGTGATGACACTACTAGGTACTATCACAGCCGACGTCAACTACGAGCCGTGAACAAAGAAATCTGGCAACGTAGGTGGTAGTGTTACTCCCGCCGCTGCTTGCTGCATCGACGCAACTCGTGCTCAAAACGCTGAGAAAACATAACCTTTTCAATTTGTGATTTTGGAATCCCAGAGGCTGTAATTAAGAGATAAGCTTGTTTTCTAAGCTTCAAAGTGTGTGTATGTGTTCAAAGGGATCGGTGACTATAATATATGAGAAATAGACTCCAGTTGTAGTGCTTCTGTGCTTTAAAAATAAACTAAGAAGTGTGACTGTGGCTGTTCGCGCTTCAGGACGCTAAGGATTTCAACTATTGAAAACGTGCAAATTCAGGTTGTATTTTTCTTTTTTCATTTATCAAGTATTTGACGCAGATAATATGCCTCGTTGTTGCTGTGTTCCTTTATGCAATGCAAACTATAATTCTGCTTTGAAAACAGAAAGCTATGTTTCAACTTTTCGCTTCCCAAGTACCGAAAGTCTGAAAAACAAATGGCTTATGGCAATTCCCAGAAAAAATTGGACACCTTCAAAATATTCAGCTGTGTGCAGTTGTCATTTTAGAGAATCGGATATCATCAGGACAGAAAATATAGTTTTGGCGGATGGAACAGTCCAAAATAATATACCTTTGAAATATTCAAAATTGAAAGAAAATGCTGTTCCCTGCATTTTCCCAAACTTGCCATCATATCTTTCAAAAACTGAAGCACCCAAAAGAACTGACCCAATGCAAAGAAAACAAAAATTAATTGAGAAACATGAAAAAGCTAACCAGAATTTCGATGATATGGATAAGATCAAAGATAAATTTAGTTCAAAAATGTGGATTTGAAGTTATTTGTGTTGTTACTGATAATCACCGAATTAATAGAGCAATGTTCAGGAAATTAGCAAAGGATTCATCAGAAAATTATTCTATTCCAAATCCACATAATCCTGATAAGAACATATATTTAACTTATGATGTGCATATTTTCAAGAGTATCAGAAATAATTGGATTAATTTAAAAAACCGAGACAAAACTTTGACAATTTTGACAATAATGATATTATTCAGTATGCTAAATTTGAAAATATTCGTGCTGTATATCAATTGGAAAAAGAAGCTGTAGTTAAGAAAGCATATAAATTAAATTATAAAATATTGCATCCAAATTCATTTGAAAGGCAAAATGTAAATTTTGTAGATAATTTATTCCATCACTCAACAATAGCTGCTATGAAAGAATTAAAGTTTAATGATGCTGCACACTTTTTGGAAATAATCAGGAATTGGTGGGATATTGTCAGTAATACAAGTGTAATAAGGAGAATTGAAGTGAAACGAATTTTGTAAGCCTATTACCAATAAATATGATTATAGAGTACAATTTTTAAAAAAATTCCTGATATGGTTAGAAAAATGGCATAATCTAGAGAATAATAGTGGACACCTGATACCAGAAACGTATACAGCTCTATATCAAAGCACGCTGACTCTACTTAATATAATTGAATATTCATTTAATCAATTTGACATTGAGTGTGTATTGCCTGGAAAATTCACCACTGATAATTTAGAAAAACGATTTGGCAATTATAGACTTTTATGTGGCTGCAATTACAATGTGTCATATGATGAAATTTTAAATGCTGAAAAGAAAATACGGCTGAAGCATATTTTCAATGAAAAGAAATCGTCATTTTCTTTAGCAGAAATTAAAACAAGGTTCCAAAACTGCTTAGACACTCCAGAAAATTTTGATTTCTTGGATACCAAACAAAATCCTGAAGTTTTGGATATATTCAATGAAGTATTTGAGACAAATTACTTAGCCAATTGTGACATAGAGGATAGTACTAAGACTTATATATCTGGATATGCTTCACATGCTATCTCTAAAAACCTAAACTGCGAGATATGCAAATCGCTAATAGTTGAAGAAAAAGGTTCATTAACAACAAATGCTTATTGTGATCATTTGCAAAGAGGAGGACTGTCAATTCCAACCAGTTATGTACCAATCATATTCTACCATATGTATGCCATTTTTGAATCTATTATTAATGTAGATAGATTGGAAATTTTCTTCTTGAAAAGCAATAATCAAAATTTTATTTTGTGTCAGTTAACCTTGCTCAGCATTCAGTCTGACTTTATATACAGTGAATTTTCTTTAACTTGCATCTGTGGCCGCAATTATGCAGATATTTTATCTAAGCTTTGGTCTATTTTTTCAAACATAATTTTGAATGATTATGTAAAATTGAAAAATAACAGTAAAACTGAAAGTAAATGTATTAACAACAAACAGGTCCACATTTCCAAGCTGGGCCTGTTGGAACACAGTGTGCTGACACCAAAAAACGTAAACTAAATACTTTTAATTAGGTTAACTGCATTAGCGACTCATATATATCACGATTATTTCGTATATTTAAATTTTTTAGAGCTATTTCATATTCAGACGATTTGTATCGAATCGAACTGTCCTCTTTTCCAAAATTAAATTTAGTTCTTGAACGTTACACGGAGGCGGAGCACACAGCCGCTGGCGGCCGACGTTCACAGGTAGCACTACCATGCCGTCCGAGCGCGGTGTTGCCTTTCTTTCATCACGGCTCGTAGTTGACGTCGGCTGTGGTACTTAATACACAATGAATAAATAGTAAACAATGAACGCACGCTAGGCCGTACCGCTATCACCTGTAGTCAAACTAAGTAAAACAATGCTTACGCGTCGAGCACGATAGCGGTGGCGCGTACAAGTTGTAACCTGTTCAAACCTGCGTGATCTACATTATCGAAGATTGTCAAATACGTATGTC